CCCCCCCCCACACACACACTCAAATATTTTTCTTAGTATGTGGTTTGACATGGCTTATCATTTAACATACAGTACATTCAAATTACACATGTAAGTTTACAATGACATTCTATTCCTGCCCATCAATGCTGCTGCTAATGATGTCTCACCTGGTAATGACATTAAGAAGGATTTACCCAGATGCTGTCCTTTCTAGACCTACACTGTTTTTATTCTGAAGTTGTCAGTATTATTTGCATATTACTATGGTGTCCAGATTGGCCGGTTCCATGTATACACTGGCTCACTTTAAAATAGATTTAAAATCTAGTTTTAAATGTTTCATCAAAAAGCATAGTAATGGACAATCATGCTGATATCTAATGGGGACCTATACTTTGGAGAGTACCTTAATATTAGGGCTTTGGACTAAGAGGATTTGACAACTGAACATGGGTCAGACTTAGTCATGGTCATTATAATAAATGTAAGCTATTGTAGGCCACCTACATTTTGTTGCAATTGTTTAATGCATTAAAGGGGGTATGATGACCATTTGTAATGGAAATAGGTCTACAGCCAGGTTTAGAATAGAAGAGTGTATATATATGGAGATTCAAGGTTGGATGCAAATACTATGAAAGTATGAAGAGGCTTAGAAATCTTGGCAAAGTTGTGGAAAAAAGTGTAGCAATGTTACACAACAAATTAAGAAAAAATATTTTGCTCTCACTCCTCGCATTAGAGGTGTAATGAGCCAGAACATAAAGTGCTTTATAAACAGCCACACTTTTCCTGTGGGCTGACTCCAAAAGTTGAGATTGTTTAGTTAACTGCTGTTTCCAAGGTCAACAAGAAACCAGAAATCCAACCTCCGGTTGCATGCTGATGTATATTTACAAAGATGGTGAATGTATGTGGTGTTGAAAGTAAATCCAATGTGTGTTAAATTAACTAAACATAAAAGTGGTGAGATGACATCTGAGTGCATGTTTGTGCTTGGGTAGATCCATCAGTGTTTCTGCAGAAAACTTTTCCTGTAGCAGTTTAGTTTTGACTGTCAACCTCCCGTATCGATTGACTGGTATTGTTCACAGAAGTTTTCACACCTGGTGGATCTGAATACTTAACAGTTGGAAGTTAGAATCCCTAATATTTAAATACTTAAGTGCCATGCTGTTGGAGCTATTAATGCCATGGGTTGTGTTGAACTGTGTTTTCCTTTACCATTCTGCTAGTGAGACATTTTTATGAATGTAGGCGTATAGTCCCAACAGTTATGTATGAGATGTATATTGTTTGTGAGCTGTGGTGATCTCAACAACACATGGGGCCTGGTGGCCCTGCAGCAGCATCCATCCATAATTCAGACAGACGGACAGGAGAGCAACGTAAGGCATCAAGCTGATGTGAAACTGGTTCAACTGGAAGAAATTATGTCCAGAGTGGGCTCAGCGGCATACATCCCTTCACTGTTTCTCTTCTGTTCTCTTCGTACTTTATTGTCTGGTACTCCACAGGAAAACAAGTATCCAAAGTTCAGTCAAATCTTCATGCCCAGCTTGGCTTTCTGTGAAAAAAGTCATAGGATAATAGAGGTTAAGTACAATATACCTGTGTATAATTGTATTATAAGCAGTGCAAATCTATGCAAACAAGTAAATAACTTAAAATGGGATCAGTCTTAATTTTGAAGTGATAGCGAATAAACATTCAGCTTAACCATGTTTGCTTTGTGCTTTGGAGATAGAAGCAATCAGTCATGTCTCATGATAGTGACCAGCATTGATCCTTCTCTAAAATGTAGTGTTCAAGAGACTCTGCACTCATTTGCTCCCTATTGGTTCATGCAATTGATGAATTTGATCAAAAATGTATATAGTAAATTTAAAAGTACATTATGTGGTATTGCTAATTTCTCCTACTCTGTATATTGTTACTGTTGTTAAGTCTTAAATACATATATTCATAAACACTTTGGGAGTGTTATAAACCATTTATTAATTAAAAGTAGGGTAGGTAAGAATGGAGAAACCAGCTCGAGTGTGCTAGAATTTGAAAATACACAACCGAAAACAATCTGCCCCTTCCTTCAGACTTCCTTACAGAGCCCCTCCTCCAACACACACAGACGCGCGCATGACTAATGAGGGCACGAGATAAGTTTGTGCACAGATGGAAGGCTGACAGGCAGGTAGGCCATCCAGTTATTTTAGCCGGGCCGGCTCAGATGATTGGTCGTGCTTTTTACAGTACCACGGCTTCCACAGATGACATTTTTGTATATATTTATTGTCAAAGCATTTAATATATTCATTGCTAAGAGCATTCCATGGAATATAACAAAAGTGTTTCTGAAGTGAATTACCTACCCTACCATTAAGTGTTTATATAATGCTGGAGGGCTTAATAATAAAGCTATATTGTTGTCTGTACTTATGAGGCAGTGGAAATATATATATATATTTTCCTTTAGTCGACTCTTAAGTTAAACAGGGTTACACTTGAAGGAGGCTGAGTGGTGAACTTACGATGCCAGAGGCCTGTTTGGGTTTGACGCTGTAGGATGCCTTCTCCTTAGCCTGCCGGAAACACTCCTCAGCTGCTTTTAACCTGCACACAATATGAATGCAGTTTTTGAAAACACAAAGCTTAATTTGCCTAAGATCCATAATATCTTCACATTTTATTTTGGTCTTGAAAGGAATAAAAGAAGAAAAGGGCAATTTTTAAGGCTGCGTGACTGACCGCTCTTTGAGGATGACTTTGTTCTCTTTCTTCCACTGATCCTTGAAGTCGGAGGAGAACTCGTGCCAGACGCAGAACAGGGTGTTGGGGGAGACCTCCTTCTCTCCTGACTTAGCCTTCACTGAGAAGAACACGGTGAGCTCCAGGAACCTGCAGGACACCATCACAATTTACTTTCTAACTTTAACCATTAGTTTCCCTTTTGATGTTAGGAGAATTTACCACATCACTCCAGTTCTCCAAAATCTGCACTGGCTTCCTATTACACAAACGATACACTTCAAAATATTAATTTCAACATACAAAGCACTTAATGGATTGGGACCAAAATACATGTCAGAGATGCTGCTACGAGCCAAACAGAGCTCTCATATCATCAGGAGGGTTTACTCGTTGTCCCCAGATTCAGAACTACATTTGCTGACGCAGCTTTTAGCTTTTATGCTTTTATTATTATTATTATTTGTATTTTTATTATTTATTTAGCTTTTATTTTTACAAGCCTGAAAAAAACTGCCTGAAATGCTGAGGTCCGCCACAACCCTGGTGTCACAGTCTGCTCCATCATTCACCAGTAGTTTTCCATTCACCTGTCTCACCTGTTAACCACACCTACGTTTTTGCTCACTCTCTTTCTCTACGGCACCCATTAGTTTCACTGCCAGTATTTAAACCCTCACCAGACACACACCAGTTGCCAGATCGTACTTGCCTTCATGCTAGCCTTTCACGCGTTTGTTACCAGATTGCCTACCCGGTTCCAACCCTGCCTGTCCCTGACCTGCCTGTTCTGCCTGTTCCCTGATCCTGCCTGTCCTTGGACTATCCTGCCTTGCCTGCTGTCTGACCCTCTGACTCACCTTCTGCCTGCTGTCCTCTGGTTCGTTTGCCTGCACATCATCCGGCTGATACCGTTCTGCTGGTATCCCTCTGTTCTGGTATTATTACCAATAAAGTACATTACCAATACTCCTTGGTTTCTCGAGTGCTGCATTTGGGTCCTTCATAAGATTGTGACACCTGGGTTCTTTTAAATCAAGGTTAAAAACCTTTATTTTGTAAAACCTTTATTAGAACATGGAAACCCTTTCTGGACTTCTATGACTCCTTACAAGATCCGCTTGATAAAGAATAAGATTGGACTGGGTACGGTATTACAGCAGTGAGCATTTAATATATATTTCTATATTATTGATTTATTATTATTATTATTTTCCTATTTTTTTTATATTCCCCCCTTTTTTTATACGTATGTTTTTCCCCTTTATGTTTCTCAGCCCCCTTGCAGTCATTACATTAATAAACAATACTGTATTTAATGTTAAAGTACTCCTGTAACTCAATGGGTTAATGGGTGATGGGTGGGTTGGTGGTGCGATTGAAATGGAGATTTTGATTTGTCAGCATGTGTGTATATATCTTTACTTGAATTGGAACCAAATCTACATGCTCTGTATCACTTGCTTTTGTAGAAAAACTGAGAAAAGAAATACATATATTTACAAAAAAAGAAAGAATAGAAACCTTTCTTTTGATGCAGTCTATCCTGGGATCCTTTAACCGTGCCTTATCATTGCACTTTTTAGCTTCAACCATTAATTTATCGCTTTTTATTAATAGTGTTTTTTTGTTTTTGTTGTGTGTTTTGTTTTTGTTTTAAAAATTATTATGTGAAGCACTTTGAATTGCCTCTGTGTATTAAAATTTGCTATACAAATAAACTAACCTTGAACCTTA